AGAGACTCTGGGGACACAGGACCACTGAACCTCATGGTGTCTTTGGTTCTGTCACGTCCCAGTAGAGACACATGGTATTTTCATTTGGACTTTCTTCAGCTCTGATGGAAGCGTTTGCATAGACTGTTTTTTAAGAGCATTTGAGTTCTTGATTGAATGAAACAGTTTATTTGAATTGTTTGAACTGCTATTGTCTTTGACTGATATCCAGGGGGAACTGAAAAAAAAAATCTATCCCTTTGCAATATGGAGAAAATGTTTGTTATTACAAAAATAATAGAACTGGTGATTATTTTAACTAGCAGAGTTTTTCTTTCCTTCCTCCATCTTTCCCCTTCTTTCTTTTTCTCCTTTTACGGCAACATCACCTGTGCTATAATCTTACCAGCTTTCTGTGAATTGTTTGAATAATGTAACTTTCTTAAAAACAAAACAAAACAAAACATGCTTACTAGGTTTTAGAACTATCTGTCACCTGAATATAGAGAAGTAAGACATTTGCGAGACATAGAAATGATTTATGACTGTTGATGATAACGTGTATAGTATTCTCAGCTGTACTGGTCTGAGGTGTATTTCGTATTTTTTTTAATCCAAATATTTTTTTAAATTTAATTTTATTTATTATTATCATAATCTTGTTTATATTACATTGAGTTACATATAACTTTACAGTGTCTTGCATTTCTTTTTCCAGAAGGAACACCTTGCATACTAGTAAAGACAAAGACATGACTATCCACATGATCATCATCAAATAGCTTTTCATCATTTTTCTGTATTATTATTATCCTCATTATTTCTTAGACGTTCAATCACTATATATCATTTTGATTGTAAAAAGAATTTACCCAACATGAAAGACTTCTCAGACCAGTCCAGTTAAGATACTATAAATGTTATCATCAACAGGTAGTAAACCATTTCTGTGTCCCACTAATGTCATGCCTCTCTATTTGTTCTCTTGCTATCCTTGGCTACACTCTTCCCTTGTCCTGCCCCATTCCACACTGTCTTCAGCATCCCTAACTATTTTCATTGCTTTTATGCCCTCCAGTATTTCAATTTCTACCATAAAGTGCAGATACTTGGTATATATTAAGTGGATATTGAGGTGTATTTCATATTGGGTAAATTTTATCTACAAGCTAAATGATGTATAATGATTGAATGTATAAATATAATAATAAAATAAAAAAATAATTGCATAAAACTCCCCAAAATAGAGTTAAATATACAAGAGATATCTTGGGAATATCCTTTGAGGAGTAAGAGAAAAAAGAAAATATCTCCCACCTGTATAAATAGTTGGCTCATTGTTCACTACATACATTTGAATAAAAATGGAAAATAAAATAAAACACCATCTCCAACTGAAAGGTATTAAAAAGCTATTACCATTATTGGGACCAGCAGTTAGCGTAATGGCTATGTTGCTGGACTCTCATGTAGTCAACCGTGGTTCGAGTCCTGGACCTGGTGGCTTAAACTCACGCCGGGCGCATGTGCGTGCGTGCCCAAGATCCTGAGAGGAGAATGGAGGAGAAAGGGATTGCAGCATGGCCATCCCCCCTGGGGGGTGATTTTTCGCTTTCTGTCTCTCTGTCTCTGTCTGTCTGGCGAGTGCACGCGCCCTATAGCAAAAAAAACCTCTCCAAAAAAGAAAAAATAAAAGCTATTACCATTATAAATATCAAGATGATGTTAAAAAGTGGGGTAAGATGGGGCCAATGGGGTAGCATAGTGATTAAGGTACTGGACTCCCACATGGCTGACCATGATTCAAATCCTGGACCCAGTGGCTTGAAAATCATGCTGGGCACCTGTGCATGTGTGCCAAAAATCCCTAGAGGAGAATGGAGGGGAAGGGATTACGGAGTGGCTATTCCTCTTGGGGAGTTAGCTCTCACTTTCCCTCCCTCTGTCTCTGTCTTTCTCCAGTAAGCACATTGCCCTAGGGGAAAAAAAAAAAAAAGGAAAGAAGGTAGAAAAAAAAAGTGAGGGAAGAAGGTCTTGTGAAAAATGTTTGGTTCTCAAAAAAGAAAAATTCATCTTTCAAGGCTTTTCTGTTCTTTGATGGATTTATGTCTGTTATATTGTATGAGCCCTTTCACTCTTTCAGTTTTGTTGGTTGTCCTTTCAATCAATGCCAATGCCAAATCAGTCCCACATCTACTAGCAGACACACACACATACACACACACACACACACACACACACACACACACACGTACACACACATGCACGCACTTTGGATATAGCATTATATTCAGTTTTATGGAAAATACAATGTAAGTTAAAGACTTTTAATCTAAATATGAAGATAAGATATGCAGAAGACAGCAAAATAATGTGAACTTGTGGAGGAGTCCGACCCAGTATAATAATAGTTTTAAAAGAAAATCTAAAATAAGTATTGTGGAGATGCGGAGATAGGAGGACATCAGTATAAAGAGTTATTTCACAGCTTTTTTATGTTTAAAGATAACTGCTATTTAATAACTGCTTGTTAAACTGATGTGACCATTTTAGTTTCTTTCCACATTTTGATATTGCATTTTCCCCAGATTTGTTTAAACTCAAGAGTATTTCATTCTGTCCTGCTGGCTAATAACTGGAATCACTGACAAAATTTCTATTTTTTTCCATGTATCTATATATAGCCTGTTCTTGCCCACCTGTGCATGCATACACCCCCCTCCACACACACGTGCGCACACACACACACACACACACACACACACACACATTCCTAGAATCCAAAATCTTTATTTCTGTGTGGCATTATCTGTGAATTCGGTGACTCAGGAAAGGGTTTGTGAAGATTTGGTCCACTGTCTGACTTCTTTGAACTATCCAGCTGGTAACTTTGGACTGACTTTGTGGAATCAATGGGAATTTGCAGCGTGTCACCTTCTGCACCTGGTTTTGGAGGAGGAGTTATTAGCAGACATCAGCGTGTGAACGATTATCTCCAGGATATTAGTGGAGGCTTTACTGCTTCCTGAAGTGGAGAGCTTATAGCTGTATTCTCTAGTGCGATGCCTAGATACCGGAGAAAATACTGCATGGCCTTCTCAGCTACATGAGTCAGTTAAACAAGATAAAATATTGGAAGGTGCTTTGGGTTCTCTTGGAAGGATAAGTTGTATAGCTTTTAGTTTCATAGTGGATTGGACTACTCAGTGATCAGGAAGATCCCCTCTTTGCTATGAAATTTAACTTGAGACTAATTGTCTTATATTTGTTACCATATCCTTCCCTCCCTTACTCACGTTGCTAATAAACCAGAAATAGAACAATTCTGAGGATAGTCCTTGTCCTGAAAGTCTTTATAAATGTAAAAAGAAAATTGAAAACAGAAGCATAATTACCTAAGAAATATGTTTAAATAGTTATTGTAGGAGCACATTAAGGGAAGTCAATGGAGCAGGGTTAGTGATGATCAGAGAATGCTTTGAATTAGTGAAGAAAGCTTCCTAAGAAACATGAGAGTATATGTATCTCTAATGCCTTGTAGGTTACCCTTTTATATCCCTCAGGCTTATAAAGGTTCTCAACTAAAGAATAAAGTGTATAGCCCTTCTCTTGCTATCTTCTCAGATACTAATATTCTCACATTCTTTACAACTTCCCCGTTATTGGCATTCACTTTCATTAAAGAATGCCATTTATTCACATTGAGTTGTGATTGAATACAGGATTTAGTGCAGACTCTTTTGACTGAAATGGAAGAACTGCGTATAAAATTTAAATGAAGTGGTGTGTGTGTATATTGATCAGGATGACTCAGATAACATTTTCTTTTGACTTTTTTATGTCACTTCATTGCCTCCCTATAGGACATTCAACTTTTGAGTCTATAAATAAATTGAAGCAGTAAAATAAGAGACTTATGTCTGAGTTTTCTCCAAATTTATGTGAATTTAACCAGCCATGGATGACTCTATTCAGTTGAGTTTCAAGACAGAATATATGTATATGAATGAGTATTAGAATAAAAACTGGAAACGTGGAAATAGTTCGATTCATTTGGATGACAGGATTGAAATGAATTTCCCTTTCTTTCTTTTTTTCTTTTTATTGCCAGTGGACACATGTGCTTGCTAGACAGAGAGAAAGAGAGAGAAAATATCCCTCAGTGGGACTTGTACATACCACAGTCTTTTTTCATGTTTCTCCATTCTTTCAGGATTTGGGGCACACACACACACACACACACACACACATGAACTGACATCTTATTCAGGCCCGTGGAGCCAAAATTTTGTTTGCAGCTGGGTATGTGCGGGATCCAGTTTTCTATGCATAGCATTTAAACATTGTGCTATGGAACAGTGCCTCAATTTTCCCCTTTTAGTAAGTGATTAATAGTTCTGAGAAATATTTGGACAAATAAATCTTAAATATTCTCCCATCATTTTTTTCCGCAAAAAAGATTACTCCATGCAATGACTGACTGCCTTGGCACACAAGAAATAATGTGGGCATATGCTGGCTAGCCTTTTACTCTTTCAACCAATTTACTTTAGACACTTTTCATAATTTCATTTTCTTTGCAATTTCCAAACTTGTGCCTTCATAATAATTCTGAATTTTCTTTTAAAGTACTTCTATAACCCAGAGAGACAGAGTTTTCCTTTCATTTTTATAAGTGCCGTTTGCAAATATGATTTTGCCTAACTCTCCTTTAAAATAAGAAGTCATTGTTCTTGAAGAGAAGAGAGTGAAGAGAATGAACCTATTAGTTTTCTGATGGGCACGCTCCGTGTAATAAAAACAGGAAAGCTCTACCGTATGCAGGAGCGATTAATTGAAGCCTCTGCGCAGTGCTAGCCCTTCTTCATCTCTCTCCGATTAGATGACAAGATGTGAATTTAGTGCAGAAGAGTGAGTCCATAAAGATGATTTGCTTGCCTCTTTGTAACATTAAACAGTATGATCAGTATGTACTTCTCCTGGATAAATATTGTTTTAACCGACATCAATATTTCTAACAGACAAAGCACTGTATGATTGGAGAGGAGTTGTGTCGACAAGGTCTTCCCGTTTTGCTCGTGACCTCAGTCGGATTAGTTCCTCTAGATCGTCATCAATATTTCAGAATTATTGCACTGTGAGTATTTGAAAACCGGACAGACAGTTTTCACAAGTGGATGACCATTTGTGTAGAAAATTATTCGGTTAATTTTGAGGAAAACACATGATATTTTACTATGGGCCGATTTTCTGTCTAAGATTAAATTATTAAATTATTATTTCTAAGATTAAATTCTTCATTGAAACTTCTCTTTTTATTTCCAAAGCACTACATTAGTTCTGTTATTGTGTGTTGCATTAGTCTTGCTGTTCACCTTAACCCAAAAATAAATGCATGATTTTTATTTGAAAAGCAGTAGCTAAAGTGCTAACCAAGTGGTTTGCTCCAGATGTGATAGTATAGAGATGATCGTTTGTAATGGTACAAAGATCATCGAGAAATATAATGGAGTCCAGTGGAAAATGAAGGATTTTATTAGAAGCATAATTGAAGGATTGAAAAAATCGAAGGGTAATTTCATGACCTCATATTGATGATTTCCTGAAGGAGGGCTTTCTAAATGGAGGCCTGGGAACCTGTGACTTGAAAGTGAAACTGAGCTTGACTAAAGTTGTCTGTTAATCAGAGCAAGTCCTAAGATGTCCATATAGCCATAATAGAAGAAACTCATGTGATTTAGACATTTTTAGCAACAATTTCTTTTTTTTTTTAAATTAATTTTTTTGAAAGGTTTTTGCTATAGGGCACATGCACTCTCCAGAAAGACAGAGAGAGACAGAGAGAAAGAAAGCAAGAAATCACCCCTGGGGGGATGGCCATACCTCAATCCCTTCTCCTCTATTCTCCTCTCAGGATCTTGGGCACACATGCACATGCGTCCGGTGTGAGTTTAAGCCACCAGGTCTGGGACTCAAACCACGGTCAACTACATGGGAGTCCAGCGACATAGCCATTATGCCAACTGCTGGTCTCAGCAACAATTTCTTAAGACCATAAAATGCTATTTTATGACATTATGCCTTACAATGTCTGTAAATATATTTATGCTTCTTGCAAATCCCACGTTTTCTGTTCTATGAGTGACTATGTCTTTCTTATCCTTTATCTTTTTTGTCTCTTATTACAAATTTTTTAAAAAATAATTTTTGCTATAGGGCATGTGTACTTTCAGAGATACATGGAGAGAGACAGAGAAGGAAAGCAAGAAAGCATCCTTTCAAGGGAGGATGGCCACACTACTGTCCCTTCTCCTCCATTCTCCTCTCAGGATTTTGGACACACATACACATGTACCCAGTGTGTTTTTCTTTTTTCCTTTCTCTTATCTTGTTTTTCTTTTTATTTCTTTTCTGTTTTGCTATGGGGCATGTACACTCATCAGAGACAGAGACAGAAAGACAGCCATTATGCTAACTGCTAGTTTCCTCCCAATGTGTTTTCAAGTCTCCAGTTCTGGGAATTAAACCGCATCATTGGCCCAATGGGATCCAGCTGCTGTAACCTCCACACCATGTGTTTGCCCAATATCACCAATTTTTCTTCTTGCCATTTGTATTAGTTTGTTAGAGATGCTATAACAAAATACTACAGAGTATGTGGGTTCAATAACAAAAATACATTTTCTTGCTGTTTTGGGATCTGGAAGTCCAAGATGAAGGTGCCAGCAGGGTTGTTTTCTTCTGAGACCTCTCTCCTGTGCTTGCAGATATCTGCTTTCTCATGTTCTCACGTGGGTTTTCCTCTGTGCACATACACCCCTGGTGTTTCTCTCTTTTTATGAAGACATCAGTCATATGGGATTAGGATCCCACCCTAAGATTTCATTCAACATGACCTCTTCAAAGACTATTTCCAAATGAAGCTTGGCGCTTCAAAATACAAATGTTGGGGGAATACAGTGCAGTCCTTAACATCTTTCGACAACTGAAATATATTTTAAAAATTGTTTTTCTCTATTGAATGGTTAGTTTCTTCTTTATTCATGATAGAGTGCATGTGTATGCATGTGTGTGTGAGAGAGAGAGAGAGGAGCATTCTCACAGGCCTGGTTATGCCATGATTCCCTTCCTCCGGTCCACCAGCCTTCTGGATCTTGGGCACTCCCTTGCATGCTCAGCATGTGTCAGGCTGACCAGGTTGGGAATTTGAATCCTGTTGCTATGTGGGAATCCAGGTGCTCTTGAGTAGTGCATTACTGTTACACTCTAGAGCTACTCTGTTGAATATATATATATTTTTAATTTGTTATAAGTTTTAATTTAAAAAAAATGTTGCTAAAAGGTGTTGCATTCACTGGAGAGACGTGGGGAGAGGAGTGAGAAACAACTTCTGAGGGGAATGACCATACCACAATCCCTTCTACTCTATTCTCCTCTTAGGATTTCAGGAATGCACACACACATGTGCCAGGCGTGTTTTCCAATGTGCCAGGTCTAGGATTCAAACTCTGCTGTCGGCCATGTGGGATTCAGCCACCTTAACTACCATACTACTGGCTGGTCACCTATTGAATAGTTTTATTTTTCATTTTATAAAATAAATATTTAGTTTTTATCATTTTTCGTAAATGAAAGCTTAAAAATTATGTCATATTCAGCTTATGTTGCTAAATTTCTTGTGAGGCAAATTTGCTAAAAGTAAATTATTGCAACCCTATTTTAGACAGGGAAATTATATGAATGTTATTAGGCAAAACTATATGAATTTAGACAAGGAAATTATATGAATATTTTATTTCCTGAAATGTTAGCAGTCTTGTAATCCACTGTTTTCAGGATGTATTTGTTAATCACAATATATGTCTAGACTGTTGTTACCACATAATGGAATATATTAATATATTTCAAAGCATACATGTCCTTAGCAGGACTAATATTTACATTTTTGTTATCTTCCAGGAAAGGTGAAAAAATAAATTGCAACTTCCAAGTTTCCCAGCCCTGCTCTATTTTATATCAACAGTTTAGTGACTGTTCTTAGTTGTGTGAATAAACATATTAAAATGGTTTCTTTGGGGAATATGTACATCTGGCAAGGGTATACTTAACTGTGGAGAGTTTGAAATCCAGGAATGAGGGTGTTTATCAATTGCTGAGTGGAAAATTAGGAGCACTGACCACGGCTTGGACACAGTAGTTGGTTATTTTGGGTGGTGCACCTGTCTAAAGAATTTGGGGTAGGACCAGCAGATGATATGGTGGTTAAGGTGCTGGACACTCCCACATGGCCAACCATGGTTCGAGTCCCAGACCTAGTGGCTTGCTTTCTGACTTTCTCTCTCTCTCTCTCTCTCTCTGTGTCTAGTCAAATTCAAATAAATAAATAAATGAATAAATGAAATTAAATAAATAATTCTTTTTTAAAAAATAATAATTTGAGGCAGACCTGAGAGGAGACCAGGTGAGCAATAATAGGCCTTTTCATCAGTCCGGATAGAGATAGCAAAGGTTTGGGTTTACCCTCAAAAACCAACTTACACGAGTGGGGTGGTCAATGAACAAGTGGTAGTAAGAATGAATCCCTTCAAACCTATAATCTGCTTACAGTTTTAATTTTCACCATTAGAAGTCTAAATGACTTCTTTTAGTAAGGATTCCTCTTTTATTTTATTCTTTAAAATAGCAATATTTCTTGAAGGGATCAAACACCAAGTTCTAATTAGCCTTATGTTTCATTTTTTTCAGTAATGAACATCTTAAAAATAATAAAATATCAAAATTTATCATTTTAACCTTTTTTTCTTTTCCTTTTTTAATTTTTTTTAGTTTTGTTATAGGGTATATGCACTTACCAGAGAGAGCGAGATAGTGAGAAGGCACCCCCCAGGAGGGATGACCACAATGCAATCCCTTCCCCTTCATTCTCTTGAAATTTAAGGCACTCATACACATGTGTTCTGTGTGATTTTCAAGCTCCTGGGTCTGGGACTCAACCTGTAGAGTTGGCCACGTGGAGTCCAGTACCTTTATCTTCAAACAACCTGGCTGGCCACCTTTTAACCACTTTCAAGCATGCTGTTTGGTAGTATTAAGCACCCCATGTAACTGTAACCATCACCACCAACCATCTCTAGACTTCCTTATCTTTCCAAAGTGAAGCTTTCTATCAATACCAATGTTTTATTTGTCTCTCCCTGATTCCTTGACAACCACCGTTTCACTCTCTGTCTATGAATTTGACTCCTCTAGGTATCTCATATAAGCAGAGTAATATAGTATTTGTTCTTTTTGGTGGGCTTATCTCACTTAGCATAATGTCTCCTAGGTTTATTCATGTTATAGTGTGTGTGTGTGTGTGTGTGTGTGTGCACGTGTGCGCATGTGTGTGACTTCTTCTTTTAAAGGTGAATAATTTTCTGCTGTGTGTAGACACAGCATTTTGTTTATTCATCCATCAGCAGACACTTGGGTTATTTCTACTTCGGGGGTATTTAAATAATGCTTCTGGGAACTTGGTTGTGCAGGTATTGTTGGAGTCTCTGCCTTCACTTCTTTTCAGTATATATTGATCTATGAAATTGCTGGATCATATTGTATTTTTCTGTTTAATTTTTTGAAGAATCACCACATCGTTTTCCAAGGTGGCCATACCATTTTATATTTCCATTAGCAGGACATAAAGGCTCTAATTCTTGGGACCAGCAGATGGTGTAGTGGTTATGTCACTGGACTCCTACGTAGTCGACTGTGTTTTGAGTCCTGGACTTGGTGACTTAAACCATGCCAGGTGCATGTGCATGCATGCCCAAGATCCTGAGAGGAGAGTGGAGGAGAGGGATTACAGCATGGTTATCTCGCCTTGGGAGTGATTTCTCCCTTTCTGTCTCTGTCTCTCTCTGTTTCTCTGGCGAGCGTTCATGCCCTATTGCAAAAATCTCTCTCCAAAAAAAGTTCTAACTCCTCCTCAACACTTATTCCATAGTCTGGTGTTCCAAATCTTCATAGGTATGAAGAGATAAGTCATCTTGATTTGAATTGTTTTTATCAGTTCAAAAGACCAAAAGTAACAGGGGAAACTGAGAGTAGAGGAGTCTGCATTGTTAAAAGAGAGCTGGAAGTAAAGGGAAGGACGCAGAG